TCCTTAATAAAGTTAAATACCATTATAAAGTCAAATACAATACACCCCAATATTTTGGAATTACCTTGTTTTTTTTTGTTTATGGCTGTCTTTATCAATTTACTCCTTTTTTTTATCTCGAAGATGATGTCCTTGGAGTATTAAGGAGAGTTCCGACCCATCCGATATTCTATTTTGGGATTTTTTTACTTATTATTGTTATACCAATAGTATTTTACAATTTGTATAAGTTTATAAATGGAAAAAAAGAAAACCAGAACGGTAAAAATGATGAAAACTATATTTTCAGTTATATTATATTTCTAATTTTTATCATATCTGTCTTTGCAAGTAGTATTCTTTATCTGGTTATAATCCCTGCAGATGACATTTACGTCAAAATAGGACTCAATATCAACCTATTGATGCCTACTCGTTTGCCAGGAATAATTGCGGAGAATCCGTATACAGATCTAGATAATAACATGAACCCAGATGAAAAAGCAAATTCAGATGGCAAAAAGAAACCATGTTTTAATAAAAGAGGCTTAGTTAGTATCATCCTTTTTGGTAGTAATGAAGAACAAAACAGAAGAGAAAGACAAGACAGTGAAATAGATGCAACTATTGCTGTGTAGATTTATTAGTTTAATCGATTTAAAGTTTTATTTCCAGAAATTTTCTTAATGTGATCGAGTTGTGGCTCAAAAGTTGCGATTAATTGAAATATAACAATTTCACTGAAAATTCTTTGTACAAAAATATGGAATTTTTTTTTAATTTTAAAGGTGAGGCCATGCCTCTAAAAAATATGGAATTTTAAATTCTGCCAATCAGAGTAATTCTGTGAAAAATGTGCCTTCAGCCGATCAGATTATTCGGTAAACCCATTGAGTGTGTTATCAGTTTAATAATTGATTATATTTATTAATTTATATCAAATATTTAATAACATTAAATCACACCACTGGTGCTCAATACCATCTATATTTTTTAGGATTATGTTGTTATAGGTTAAGGCAAATGTTGGGATTCGATATCACAATTTAGGTTAATTTAAGGTTTTGGGGGTGCCATTAGAATACTTGACATGGATTATTTACCTAGTTTTGGAAATACAGTATAACAATTGTAATATTGAACACCACAGGCAAGATTTAGTAAATCTGCAAATACTTATTTAGCATATCTTACTAAATTTATTGTATAAAAAAAATTAAAAGTTTGAGATTAAAAATATATTATTGCAGTTATTAACATTGTTGTTCACTTTTCCGAAGTTCTTTTCCTGCTATTTCACTGACCCATAATTCAGATACCCCTTTTTCCTGACAAAACTCATTTTCTGACAACTTGG